TACATCCTCTCCTCTTAACTTGGATATATTTTTATTTTGATCCTTTGGAGCCATTTGATTAAATCTTCTATCAAGTTGCATACATCATGGCAATTTTTGTTTTCCTGATTTGGAGTATAGAGAGGTAAGAAAAGAACAAATAAAATGGAAGAAAGATAAAAGAGCTTCTTCTAGAACACTGTAACTTGCCAGAACATTCTGAATATTATATGAATTACAATATGACCAGCTCTGGCTTCTCAATCTCTCCATCTTCCTTAAATATTAAAATAAACATATGGACCAAAGTCTGTTACCAAATTTTGTTGTGTATGTTCACCACCACAGGCCAAAGACCACATTCTACTCTATTAATTCATATCTAAGTGTCATCACACCAGTGTTCATAAAGAAAAAAAAAGAAAATGAATAGGAATTGCTTCATTTGGTACTAGGCTAACTTTCTCTGCACAAAGGAAACCTATCTTCCAAACTGAGTATGTTAGAACTATGTCCCCACCACCTATCCACTACCTGACATATAGAGGCATGTAGAAATAAGAAGGTGAAAAGATGGAAGAATAATTTACAATACCAGTTACTTTATTAAATAACCCAAAGTCTCATCTTCCTTCTTTCTGAACCTAAACTCCAAAAAGCAGAAGGGCCAAAATCCATAAATTCAAAAAGAAAAATTATGTGGTTAAAAATTTGATTGGGGGGATCCTAGGAGGCTCAGTCAGTTGAGCGTCCGACTTCAGCTCAGGTCATGATCTCACGGTTCATGGGTTCGAGCCCCACGTCAGGCTCTGTGCTGACAGCTAGCTCAGAGCCTGGAAGCCTGCTTCAGATTCTGTGTATCTCCCTCTCTCTGCCCCTCCCCTGCTCATGCTCTGTCTCTGTCTCTCAATAATAAACATTTTTTAAAAAAATTAGTACTCCCTAATGCTCAGAGATATATGACAGGAAATATCTTTAACCAACAGTTTTTAATAATATAACAATAAAATACAGAATACTGAATACCTCTGGCAATAAAGGGAAGGTTTTAATGAAATCCAGAGACTTGAAAAGCCTCTTATAATCCAGCAATCCAATATTTTTCACCAACTTTCTCATCAAGACATTTAATAAAGCAGTTATCTACAAAGTAAAACCGATTCATTTTTTTCTCCTTCTCTAGTAGAAGTCTGAATGGACGACTGAGTGGACCTAAGTTAAGTAGCAGAAAGGAGAAAGGAGAGTGAAAACAAAACAAACAAAAACTGACCTATACCAACTGGATAAACCGCAACAATTGAGCTGAAAAGTACTAACAACAACACATCCAATTGAAAGTAATATGAGAACAGGAAAGTTCATGTCATTTTTAGTCTATATGTTATGCATATATTTTTAAGTAGGCATATAATTCAGCCTGGAAGCAGACTGCTTAGAATATTCCTTATCATTTCTTCTTGCCCAAAGATTCTAAGAGAAAAGCTTTTCCATGACAAACTTCCACTAGAAAATGCCTTTGGCTAGTGAATGGCTCCAAACAGACTCTTTCTTTGGGGTATATGTTATCATAGTTTGAAGTGGAGAAAGGGCTTTTCCAAACAATACATTTCTTTTCCCATATGACCCTCTGCCTCCTCTTCTTTGTTTTACCTGGAAAACTATTCTTCCTTTTCCTACAAGTCTCAGCTGAAATGTTACATCCTGTGGCTACCTTTCCTGAGCTCTCAGACCTGAGTTTGAGTCCACAGCACCTAGACTTCCTTTATCCCAGCAAAATATGGTGGATAATTTTATTCATGAAAATTCTAAGAGCTAATATTCAGAATGTGGGGCATCATATGATATAACAAGAGAAGGTTCCATGTAACAAGAAGGGTCACTGAGCATGGGCTTCAGAAGCCTAAAAAATAAGAAAGAGGGATAAGGGTGTTTTCTATTTGGTGCATCAGTAAAACTTCTGGGCCAACTCTAGGGACACCTGCCACAAAGGTACCTACGATATTCTTTGATGTCTCTGGATGTGGGCAGGGAGTGGTTTATTTATTTTGTTTTGTTATTGGGGTGTTGACAGGCAGAGGCAAAAATTAAGGTGGCCTAGAGTTATTTGAATTATATTTTTCCAAGATTTTACACCTAACTGTGAATGACAGCTGTGCTTTTTATTAAAATCATTCCCTTAGAACTGAATTCAGAGTAGAGTTTTACCTTGACTACTAGGCTGTTAGGCTAAACGTTAAAGGAGTATGCATTGACTAAACATGACTGAAAGGATTACTGGAACTATTCTGGGTCTAACCTGTGAGTCAAACACACACAATGCTATGTGACTTCATGAAACTGAGGAGGCCTAAGAAACCCATTAGTAAGTCTGCAAAATAAAATCCAGTGTTAAACTTACCTCTATGAACCACCAAAGTTTTAAAGAAATGGATGGAGTATGGAGGTCAAATTGAGCTCAGAGCTACCTCTGCTCTATTTGTCCAGGTGTGGTGGGGATGGGGCTCTGGCTAAGGCTATGGGACTTGCAATCAAGCAAGCTTGGCAACCACTGGCAATGCTGCTTTGAAGGGACTCTGTAAAATACACAGTTAAGAGCTTGGGCTCTTGTCTCTGACAACCTGGGTTTAAATCTGTTCTCACCTAGTTACTCTAAAAGCTTGGATAAATTATATGCTCTCTCTACGCTTTAATTTCCTCATCTATACAATGAGAATAATAATAATAATTAACTCAAAATACTAAAGTGGCAATTATAAGACTATTTAGTATGTAAAACAGTGTCAGGCTTTTAGTAAGTCTTCACTAAATGTTATTAACTCTCATCATCGATACCAATAGTAATAGATACCACCAAAGAAATTTAAGGGGCGTATTGTCCAAGGAACAAGAGAAAAATATTCTGAATCAATTAATATTTCACCAAAATAGTTCAGGGAAAAGGAGCCCTAGAGGCAAAAAAGAACCACTTGATTGGCATCTTTAGAGTCTGGAGTTGGAGATTATCTTATGAACTCAAAGCTACCAGCATCAATGTCAGTAGCAGACTGTCTGACTGCTTTCCCTGTGTAGAATAGCTAGGATTCATATATAGCATTCCAACCAATGGATCAACAAACAGGAAAAAAAAAAAAAACCCATTCCAACTGTGAATCTAGATTGAGAGAACTTCTACAGAGAGCCAACAACTAACAGGCCATGGAGTATAGTTCAAATAGTCCACTTAACTCTCTGTAGAAATAATTTATAGCTAAGAATACGCTCAGATTTTACCACAAACCAGAGCACCTTAGAAATTATTCCTGTTGGTGAATGGCTACTAAGGAAACAGAGTGGTGAGAGTAAGTCTGCAACTGGTATGAATGAATCAGTACTAGATGACCAGATATTTAAATGGAGGACATTCAGGTATCATTTCAGACTACAATAGTCTGTTAGGATTTTACCTAAAAGGACGCACTGGCTGGGTCTTTACAATAGATTTAAATAATGCAAAGAGAATTGGAGGGATGAGGTTGTGGTAAGCAGCCTGGTGCAGATACTCAAGGACATCAAAAGCTCTGATGAAGAAAAGAATACATTTTAAAGATATTTAAAGGGGCGCTTGGGTGGCTCAGATCATGATCTCATGGTTCATAGGTTCGAGCCCTGTGTCGGGCTCTGTGCTGACAGCCAGCTCAGAGCCTGGAGCCTGTGTTGGATTCTGTGTCTCCCTCTCTCTCTGACCCTCCCCTGCTCATGCTCTCTCCTCTCTCTCTCTCTCTCTCAGAAGTAAAAAAATATTTTAAAAAAATAAAAAACATTTTTTAAATAAAGATATTTAAAAAATAATAAGCTTGTTTTTTTCTAGAACAAGCTTTAAGTAGAAGAGTAATGACAAAGAAGACTAGAGAAATAGGAAAGAACCAGCATATTAGAGACTGTTGTGTGTCTAGATAAGAACACTAGACTTTAATGATAAATGAGGGGAATCACTACAGATTTTAGGAAATGACCTGACAGTAGGATGGATATGGAAAACAAAAAACTACAGGCAAAAAGGTCTAGAAATCTACTAATTTTACCTAGCCTTTCTATAAAAAGTCTAGAATACTTATATCTCTTTTATAATCATTACTTTTCTGTATCTCTTCTTTTGTCTACTAGGGGCAATAGAGCTTACTCGTTAAGACCATAAATTCTGGGGCCAGGCTCCCTGAGTCCAAATCCCAGGTGCACTAGGCACCTATCTGTGCCTCAGTTTCCTTGTCTACAAAATGGAGATAAATTATAAAGCCTATTATGAGGATTAAATCACCCCTTATACATAAAGTGCTTAGGACAATGCCTAGCATACAGTAAGTAGTATAGCTTTAACTATTATCATTTTTAAGACTCTTGGGGCAGGATCTGTGTGGAATTCAACTCTTATCTCCGAAAGTATTCAACGCAGCAATAAGTACTTAATCATTGCTAAGAACAATGAAAAAGAAAATAGCCCCCATGGGAATGTGACAGAAAAACTAACGGGATTTAGCAAACAATTGAATAAAGACTGTGAAGGAGAAGGAAGAAGCCCTTAAAAAACCAAACCTGCATAACAAAGGGATTAAGAAAGGTAGCCGTTTCTGATTGAAAGGGAGGTATGGAATGTTTTAGATACCTTAAGGCTAAAGTGACAACAACTTGTCTCAACAGCTTTGGCAGGACTGAAATTTTGGAGAGGAGTAGCAGCCATATTTTGGGTCTGTTGTATGAAGGCAAAAGCAGAAGAACCTTAAGGATATTGATTTGTAATTGAGATTTTTTATTAATTAAGACTGTTGTCTCTCCATTAAATTCAAATCAGTTAGGTGTTCATATTCATTATCTCATTGAAATCAGCTTAACTGCTGTAAATTATAGCTGAGTAAAAAAATTATATGCAGTAAAAAAATCCATATTTTAAGAGATCGTTATAGAAATTCAACCATTTTATTGACCTTCCTATAACTCAATAATAAAATATTAAAAGCAACAGTAATAAGTGATAATTTAGAACTTACCCTGAATCACAGAAACAATTCCACAGTCCTTGACCATGACTCCAGAGTAAGCGATTAAAAACCCTGTTGAAAATCCGATATAAATTTACTTCCTCGACGTCAGGTACCTTCCAGATGCGTGGAAGAATTGTACGAATACTTGTTTTTACTATATCCAAAACCTAGTGAAAAATCAAAGTTATTTGAAAACCTAAGTGTGTGTGTGTCTGAAATTCTAAGATTGAATATATGTAATTCAAACATAAACACACACACACACACACTCACACTCACACTGATTCATTGACTACCCCAGAGTAAAAATCCGATGCATTTATGCAACTTTGGTGTATGACACAGGTGGCAAGCCAGACCATGGGAGTAAGAAGAGATTAAGTTTGAAGTTAAAATTTAAGTTAAATCCAAATTAAATCAATACATGGAGATTGAAAAATAGTACGCTTTACTTAAAAAATCAAGTTGAGTCCACTCACTCAATTAAAAAAAAAAACTCTAGAGGGATTAGGGTCTTAAGTTTAAAAAATAAACCATTAAGAAAGAATGAAATCATGCCATTTGCAGCAACATGGATGGAACTGGAAGGTCTTATGCTGAGTGAAATAAGTCAGTCAGAGAAGGATATCATGTTTTCATCATATGTGGATCTTGAGAGGCTTAACAGAAGACCATGGGGGAAGGGAAGGGGAAAAAATAGTTACAAACAGAGAGGGAGGGAGGCAAACTGCAAGAGACTATTAAATAAAGAGAACAAACTAAGGGTGGATGGGGGTGAGGGTGGGGGAGACGAGAAAAAGGGTGATGGGCATTGAGGAGGACACTTGTTGGGATGAGCACTAGGTGCTGTATGTAAGCAATGAACCACGGGAATCTACCACAAAAATCAAGAGCACACTTTACACACTGTATGTTAGCCAATTTGACAATAAATTATACTAAAAAATAATCTGCCATAAGATATCACTTCATGTCCGTTTAACGGACAAAAATTAAAAGTCCGACAATGCCAACTGCTGGAGAGACAGGGACATGCAGGGTCTCTTAGACACTGTTGGAAGGAGTAGCTACTGGTGCAGTCACTCAAAAATGGCTCGGTATTATCTCCTATAGGTAAAAATTCATATACCCTATAACCCAGCAATTTTATTCCTAAGAGAAACTCTCTCAGCGGTTAAAAACAAGAACCATTTACAAGAATGTTCTAACAGTTATTCACAATTGCAAACACCTGGGAACATCCTAACTGTCGTTCAATGGGAGAATAAACTGATACACTCATTCCCATGAACTATTATACAGTAATCAAAATGAATGAAATACGACAACACGCAAAACACAGAGCATCCTAGTAACATAATAGTACATTTTTAAAAATGTAAACATGAGATTATATACAGTATGAAACCCCTTTAATAGAACTAAAAACAACTAAATATTAAAAATACTTATGGGGAATAAACATAGACATAGTAAGAATTTATAAAGAAAGAAAATAAGGAACTAATGATTCCTAAATTCAAAAAATGGCTCCCTGACAGAAGTGGGGGATGTCCAGGGGAATGGAGTAGAGTCATTTGGTTAAATAACAGGTCATTGCCAGGAATGTAGGTTTTGTTTTAGATGTAGGGTGTCACAAATGGGACAGTAACCTTAAAAACACTAAATAAAAGCAGGCCATATACAGACCAATAACGAGATAGTATCATGAAATAAGGACTATGATTAATCTAATTCTGGACAACTGAAATTCTAGAGATTCTAAAAAAACTTGTAAACCCAAAAATTGACTTTGTCCAATTCACATCTGTTTAATACTCATACAGTGCAATATATCCAATGAAAATTCTTTTAAAAAAAAGTAGGTACCAACAAATACAGTTATTCAAACAGTTATTCAAGACTTTTTTACTTTTTTATTTTATTTATCTAATTGAAGGAACTGCCTATAAGTATGTGAGTGAGTGGTGAGAAGAGAAAGAAGCTTGCAAACATCAATACTGAAGGAAGAGAGATTTCTCTCAATTGGCACAAAACATATAGAGAACTGGAAGCAGATAAAGGAGGAAGAATTTAATTTGCTTCTCTTTAAAACAACCATATTTAAAGAAGTGATACTAATTCTCTCAGATAAGGCAAATGTAGAATAAACATCTGTTTAAAATCTATTTAGTAAAAAAAATTCAAATAACACTTTATTTAGAGAAGAATGTCAAGTCCAGCTTCTTATGATGAATTGTGTGGGCCTCATTCCTTCTCTTCCAGTTCACCATGAGTGGAAACAGTACTGCAGGTCAAAGGTACGTAGATGAAGGGGCAGAGAATAAGGAGAAAGACCACAACCTGCAATAAAGTCGCTCGGGAAAAACTTGTCCTGGAAAAGCTTGTTATTACAGATAATAAATGCTTAATAATTAAGAAGTATTTAAAAATTTTTAATATGAATTATTCACAGTAACACTGATATGTGTATTAATTAATACCTTTTATTTTTTACAATTTTCATTTAAGCTATTAGTTTAACTTACATGTATATTTTTTAATGTTTATTTTTGAGAGAGAGACAGAGCACAAACAGGGGAGAGGCAGAAAGAGGAAGTCAGAGAATCCAAAGCAGATTCTACACTGACAGCTAAGAGGCCGATGTGAGGCTCGAACTCACAAACGCGAGATCATGACCAGAACTAAAGTCAGACGCTTAACCAACTGAGCCACCCAGGCACCCCAAACTCTATATTTTTTTCAATGTATAAAAATACAGTACTCATGACTGATGTGATAGGAGAATCCACACTAGCAGTAAATGACAAATTTAAGTAAATTTTTCTTTTTACTTTCTACGTATTAGTGAGTAATTACAGGCCAAAAGTCGTAATATAGGACAAATTTTAAAGGTACCGATGCTAATATCAATTCCATATTCTATTACTAAATAGCTATTCAACTTTGGAGCATTTGAGATTACAGGTTATTTATTTCTTTTTGAATACATTTTATGATAAAATACATATGATGCATAAGAACCAAAGAGAAGAGCCTGCCTACTCTATGTTAAGCACATAAGTGCATTATTTAGTGGAGACTCTTGGCCACTGCTCTATACATGTTTTAATCTTAGTTTAGAGGGGATTTTAAAATCATGATGATCTAATATCCTAGCGCACACATGACTGAAAGCAACTTTTGAAAGCAGCCAGGGAGTTAGGGGTGGTGAATGCTTCTGCTCTACTCCTAACGTTTCTTCCACCATGGAGAGATGAATAAATTTGCTAGGCCTCTTGCACCAACCACATCAAGCATCTCTGCCTGAGTGATTTCCCAGAATCATGAGACTAGCATGGTCTAGGCAACCCAGGAACTTGCTCCTTCTTTTCCTGAGCAGCCCACTGGGAACATACATTCTACTTTGCTTCTCCTTGCCCTCTATTTTATTTTATTTTATTATTTTATTTTAATGTTTATGTATTTTGAGAGAAGGAGAGAGAGAGAGATAAAGACTGAGTGGGGGAGAGGCAGAGAGAGAGAGACAGAGAATCCCAAGCAGGCTCCACAATGTCAGTGCAGAGCCTGCTGTGGGGCTCAAACCCACAATCATGACCTGAGCTGAAATCAAGAATCAACTGACACCCCCCCCACACCCCCCAGGCAACCCTGCCCTCAATTTTAAAGGAAGCAACCTCCCTGCTCCTGGGGGAAAAGAGTGGAAGGCACAAGGGCATGTAAACTGAGGGGACAAGGACCTGAATGCCCTCTTCTTCCCTCTGAGCCTTCCTTCATAGGCCTGAGGCCTCTTTCCTTGGCTTGGAACAGGTTTCCCCTATCTAGTCACCTGGTGAACCTACTCAGGGAGACCTTTACCTGCCACTAAACTATGATCCCTTAATCCCCAATTCCTCCTCTATTAATAATTACCTTGCTTTACTTTAATTTCCTGTTAATTAACATAGACTGTCATCCACATAAAGGGAGGTATTATGCCCATCTTGGTAAAGAAAACTTATCCTGTCCCCAAGGCTCAAGACAGGTCTAGCACTCAGCAGGTGTTCATCTTAGTGAAACTGTTCCTTGCAGCAAAGTGAAACCTATGCAGACAAGGTAAAAAGCAGAGCTTACACTTTTCGAGGGTTTCCTATGGACCTCAACATGGACCAGGGACTGTTCTAAACACTTTTACACAGAATAATTCACTTAATCCTCAAAACAAAAACATAAGATAGGTACAAATTGATCCACAATCCCTTTCCAAAAAATCTTGAGGCTGGATTCCATAATCATAAATATTGCTATTTCTGCAGGAAGATATATGACTATTCAAACCAAGAGACAAGACAAAAAGAACACATACCCTCCTGTCAAGTCATGGTCATCAAATGAATTTAAGTAGGTTAGGTTTTGCTGCCTAATGGTTATGAAAATTTCTCTCTCTCTCTCTCTCTCTCTCTTTTTTTTTTAGTTTATTTATTTTGAGAGAGAGAGAGGCAGAGAGAGAGAGAGAGAGCAAGTGCAGGTGCCAGAGGGGGAAGGGGCAGAGAGAGAGGGAGAGAGAGAATCCCAAGCAGGCTTCTTACAGTGCAGAGCCTGATTCAGGGCTCAAGCTCAACGATTACAAGACTATGACCTGAGCCAATATCAAAAGTCAGAACTTAACCAACTGAGCCACCCAGGTACCCTGAAAATTTTTTCATTCTGAGAACATTTTTGGATTACATTTTATGGATGAGAAAACTCTAGCATGGAGCAGGTAAGTAACTTCGCCAAGATTACATAGCTAATAAATGGACAGTTCTGTAGCCAGATCTATACCCAGAAGCACTGCCCTATCCAAAGCACTACCCAAAACTGCCTCACAATTAATGATCTGTCCAGGTGTGACAGCAAACTCTGGAAGAGAATCAAATTGTTACTTCTTAGATTCAGATTCACCTCTAATCAAGTGATACTTGGGAAAATGGGTGGGGTTACTGTACATAAACATGTCTGCCCAGGCACCCGCTCCATCAGGGCCATGAGAAAGGGTCTACAGATGGGAAGACAGTCACTGCACCTTTAGCAAAACATCGATTGAATGATGTTAGGAAGGCAGAGAGCAGACAGGCAAGAGATCGGACTAGAAAGAAGTAACTCAGGGCCGTTCTATCTGTAATGCTATTTTGGATATTTGGCTGCT